AGGGTCGGTCCACCTTCACAGACTCATGCTCTGTGTTGGTGAGCCCACCGTATGCCGGAATACTAATAAACACCCACTACAGCAAACTTCATATGAGGACTATGAGTAAAATTTCTTCAACAGCTTTTATACTGTGAAGCGTCTTTGAGTTCTTGAAAAGCGCTATACAAATAAAATGAATTCTTCTTCTTCTTCTTAATAATAATAATAATAATAATAATAATACTAAACCTTTCTCCATGGATCAAAATGGTAGATTTCCAATTAAAAAAAAAAAGAAAAAGAAAAGAAATGCCTTAAAGTGGCTCTGATGTAACTCTACATCACTGTTTCCTCTAAACAGGTGCAGGTCCATGACTCTCCCACCTCTGTCTTCATGGTAAGTTGCTGTCAACCACATGTTTGAACTGGAAACTGATTCTGAAGAGTAACGACAGAGAAAGCCCAGCTCGGATTGGTTCCTTCAGTTTGTTTGACATAGAACTTAATCTGTGTCAGTTTGTGGTTTTGAAACTGTTGTTGCTACACTGACAGCCTTGGCTGCTTATTTTGTTCATGATGTGTCTTTTAGTGGATAAAAAACCTTCATATAGACACGAGGACAAGGTGAAAAACTTGATTTTCATTGGAGGAGCTCTTTAATGTGACAAAAAACCCACTAAAGAATAAATAAAGCAGTTCAAATTTGAAGCAAATCAATTGATTAAACCAAAAACAGCTGGAAATGAAATTAAAAAAACAAAAGAAAGGCAGAGTTGAACATTTAAGGATATCTTTAGATTGTTCTGCAGGTCATTCCAGGTCGCAACAGAGTAAAACTGGATTTTCCAGTCGATAGCTGCAATACAATCCAGTTTTTTGATTGTTTTTGGTCACGACCAACAATATAAGACAAGAACAAGGTAACATAAGAAGGTAAAAAACCCTGTAGAGGCTTTATAAAGCAATAAAGCTCACAATGCAGCTCACAATCATCACTTCTTAGTTCATACATTCAGAAACTTAAAACTCACAGCTGTTGTATGCACGTATAAAATGTACCCACGATCCAAGAAAAACAACAACAACAAAAAAAAAACATGCAGTGGAAAAAATAATCAATTTGCTCACATGACATATAAATGATTCTTTCAATACAAAGACATCCCCTCAAACCGTGTAAACTTTTAATGATTCCCTGATTTGTGCCACCATACAGTCAAAGCTTCAGTGTGTCAAATACACAACAAAGACACAAGCTACTGTACTTTACTACATTTCATGCTCGGGCTGTGCCACCGTTAAACTGTGCTTAAGGGCTCAATTATGCAATTATGAGTCCTTTCTAAAAAAAAAAAAAGAAAAAAGAAAGCATATCTGCAGACTCTCCAGAGGGACGCTGCTGGTTGTCCTTCACTCCCACCAAAATGTACCCAAACCAAGCGTGACTGGTGCAGGGAAGAAATCCACTTGGAAATCTTTGTGTCAGCATCTAGCTGCTGTTGAGGTTATTTGTTGCATATTGGTATCGTTGTTTGTATTTTCAGCCAACTGTTCGTGATGATCATTAATAATATGCTAAAATGCATCCACACTGTACTGTCACAAACAGTGCAGAGAACAACTGAGCAGCTGATCAAATAAAATAAACAATAACGGACCTCTAGTCTGTTCACTTTAAGACAAATGGGAGGCACTATTGTGGAAACAATGAACTGTCATTATGACTGTTATCTTGGAACCATTTCAGCCCTCATGAACTGCAGCTGAAATGCCAGTTATGTATGAGGGTTTAGTGCTCAAGCCTTAAGGAGGAGACTGGGATTGGATTATGGCAAACATTTCAGCAGCTACACAGTAGACTCTTAGCATCGGCACAGTCAGCATGCGAGAAATGCTGATGTTAGGGCTCAGCTTAAGGCACTGCTGAGTCTCAACTATGAACATGACAGTAAACTCAGTCACGTTTGTAAATGCTCATTAGAATGTGTTCAAAGTTGGTTAAAACAGTGCTTCTGCTTGTATGGGAAAGACTATACAGCAGTGCTACAAACAGCCTGAAAGTTGAGGGCAGCCAGCCTGGTGTGAGAGGGTGCGGACAGTGTGTCATTCATTTGAGTATTCAAAACACCAGTGTGAAGGTCAAGATGGAGGGTTCCCATCACAACAACCTCCACAGTTTGGCAAAAGTACACTCATTAAAATACGAGCAGCATTCAGCTCAGTGCAGGCCTTGTGGGGGCTCTTAAGTGCAAAATAAGACAACAATGAGAATTACAGTAATAAACAATCAGAAATGTGTGCGCCGCTGAGCGTTCACATTCAACCTGCTCAGTGGGCGTCCATCTGAGCCTGTCAGCTCTCCCTCTCCGAGCGCAGCAGCCCCGCTCTCTGCAGCGCCCCGTCCACATTTGGAATCAGTTTTTCGTGAAAATCCCACAAGCGTTTGTCTTCGTGAAGCTGCTCCAGCGGTAAAGGCCCCCGCAGAGCCACGCGGACGTGAATGATCCGACAAACTTCTAGTGGGACTTTGTACCGCTCTCCAAAATGCTTGAGCACTTCATGTACCGAAGTCTGCTCCACCATCCTGTGACGCACAGAGACATCAGTGAGTTAAGGTGCATTTGGGTTTTGGTGCAAGACTTGAAACGGGGTCTTCATTATGTTTTAATGTTCCATTGAGCTGTTTTAAAGATGTCTATCTATCTATATGAGAAATTCAACATCTCCAGCTTGACCGTGGTTTTTGAATATGAAAATTAGAGAGAGTGTAAACTGTGTTCGTCCAGTCAGGAATTTTCATATCATAAGGAAATCCAATTTATTTGTTGTGTGCTGCATGGCGATTGGCATTCAGTGTAGTTTTTCTGAACGTGACGAATGTGGTGATAGAAAAAGTTCTATAATGAAAGATGTTGACTAAGTGAGTGACTCTTGAGCCTACCTTGGCTGAACTATCATCTTGTGCGGATGGTATATGTTTCTGTCGGGGTCTTCCCTGTAGACGTGCTCCAGAATATTAACTCCCGGCACCCCGTTCCACTGAGGCAGGTGAAACCTTCCACTTGGCTCAAAGTGTTTCTTGGGGAAGATGTGGTTCTCAATGAGGAACACCCCGGTCTAAAGAGTGTGGACAAAGTGCAGAAGAATGAACAAGAATGTAAATACAGATACCTACCAAATGTGATACCAAGGGATGGATACTTTGCCTTTCTCAGATGTGTACCCTACATTTGGCTGCTGTCGTTGCAGCGTGTTCATCATCGACATCAGGTCGTTGTGCTGGTATGGCATTATGATCTCATCTATGTCGTTCAGCAGGACGTAGCGTGAGCGCTCCATGGATCTGTAGATGCACTCATTGAGCGTGGTCAGCTGGCCGAAGTAGTGCAGGTCTCCTCCGAACTGCGAGAAGAGCCAGCCGCGAGACGGATTCAGATGCTTGTCGATGGGCCAGGAAACTATTTCCAAGAAGCCCTCCTGGCTGTAACTGTGCAACAGGCGGCTGAGTTCTGGGCCGCTGCTGGTGTTATAGATCACCACTCTGTCCACACCCAGCAACCTGGGCCAAACGAAGCAGAAGATTTCAATTAGTTTAGTCAAATTATCAAACAGTGGTAGCCAGCCACGTTGATCCATTCAATTATATGCCAAAATACCTCTGAAACATTTGCCTACATACCCAAAAAAGGTCAAGAAATGTGACATCACCTTTTAAGATGCTGTGGTAATCTTTTGAGCAAACAGTTATTCATTTTCTACCGCATTCAAATCGTCCAATAACCCATTCACACTCCAGAGCCTAAAACCTGCCAGTAGATTTAAAAGGTGGTACTT